CGAATTGCCCGATCGGGTAAGCCAGGTCTAGAACAATACACCGAGGTTTTAAACCTAGAATAACACAGCCTCATGTCGGATCCCTAGTAGGAACACTTGTTTGCATCATGTGCATTTGACTTTGGGGACTCAACACAGGGGTTGGGTCCGTCTAGGACAGGTGTACCCAAAAATAAAAAGACCAACCTGATACATTTTACGTACTACCAGTGCATTCATTTGTTTTGACTTGAATATTGACCGGCTTCTGGATTAGATAGATAAAATAAAAAGAAAAACCAAGTTCGGGGTATGAGAGAGAATTTCATCCATTTCCCAAAATCTGGTATCCAAAATATCCCGAAACTCTACCAAAAGTTTCGAGAAAAAAAGAAAGGAGAAAAGTTATTTCAAAGTGTTTGTATTTTTTTTCGATACGTCAAAACTGGTTGAACTACACGGATTTGATTCTCATCGGATGTGGGATACGTAGGCAACCCTCATCGGGTTCAGCCCCGCTTTTTAAAATCTTGAAGAAAAAAAAAATATGAAGTGTCGTCATTTTTGTCGTAAATAAAGTGGGTGATATCTTTTTTGTCTAAATAGCCGAATGTCCCAACAGGACGTCGGAAGGCTGTTTTTGCAAGAATAGCCAAAAACGGTTTCTTTTTGGCCATTTAGCAAACACAGCCCTAAAATCTTCCATTTCGAAGTGTTGAAGGGCCGTATTCGCAAAAGTATCCCTGATTTATTTTATTTTTTTATTTTTATTTTTATTTTTTTATTTTTTTAGATCAAAACCATGAAGGCAAGTGAAATATCCAAAGATAAGCTATCCCATATGTAGCAGGGAAAACAGTGTCAAACTCAGATGAAATTCAAATAGTTATCATAAATCCTCCATCATAAGATAATAATCTCAAATTGCAAATCTATCTTTCTACTGTTGTCTTGCTTCAACTTTCTTCTTTTGCCAGAGGCGATCCAGTGCGCTGTCAGCATCACCCTGAGCACGGATGAAACCGCAGAGAGCAAAAGTGGTGAAACTGCCAAGGATATACAAGCCCTTATCATCCAAATGGCCAACATTAAGTTGAACAGAGGCATGATCCTTTGAAGTGATCACCCATTTCCTAGGGATGTAAAGATCAACGTTTTGTCCCTCTTCGTTCTGCATCTTGGCTAGTGTTTCTGAATACTCCGATCAAGCTTTAACAACCTGAGATGAAGGGAGAGCTCTTCAAGGGGCCCCCTGATTTATTTGATTTTGTAAAATAAACCCTTTTTATCAGTTTTCAAAATAAGATTCATTTTGTCTTTAAACTAATCACCTTAATCGAAATGTACAGAATGAGCACGAGTCAAAATTTACTAATGAAGGTCATGACCAAGATTTTGTTGGAACTACACATGTGGTGGGAAGATTTAGGTAAGCCAGGACGAGACATGGTTAACCATTACTTGGGGGCGCTCACCGGATTGCTAAAGATCAGGCCTAGGGGAGATATAATAAAAGCACTAGTGATATTTTGGGATCCAGCTCACAACATTCTGCATTTTTCGGACTTCGAACTCACACCTACTTTGAAGGAGATAGCGGGTTATATTGGGAGTACCGAGGGTCTAAGACATAAATACCTGGTCGCTCCAAGGGTCATCACCCTGCACAAGTTTTTGGATTTGTTAAAAATAAGTAGAGGGGTCCAGTATGCAGATTTGGCAGGTGAGTTTTCCACTCTATACTTCATATACCACCAGTACGGACATGTAGGGGGGTTTGAAAACCCGGAAAGCAGAATTTGTAGTAAAGTGAACCGACTAAAATGGGAAGAGCATAGATGTTTCGCTTTTATGGTAGCCTTCTTGGGTCTTCTAGTATTTCCCAGGAAGGACGGGAATATTGATCTACGGGTAGCCCGAGTCGTCAATACTTTGATTGTCAATGCCAAGAGCACCCTTGCATCTATGATAGTGTTTAAAATATTCTGAGCCCCCACAGCTTGTAAAGCCGGAGTAGATTTTTTTGAAGGTTGCAATTTGTTGCTACAAATGTGGATGATTGAGCATCTATGTCATCGTCCTCGGTACATGAACTATGGGTCGACAGGGAAAAGCTGCATAGAGGAGTTTGATACAAGGGTCGATGGGTTCAAAATGCCAGAAGAGGTCGTAGATTGGATATCCTGCCTCCGCTCCATAACTGCTGATCAGATAGAGTGGACGTTGGGTTGGCTTCCTGTTAATAAGATTATATACATGCCTGCCACTGGTCCTCACTTCCTCCTAATGGGTCTCAGAAGTATCCAACCTTATACCTCATACCGGGTTTTGAGACAGCTAGGAAGATGTCAAATAATCCCCAAGGACGAAGACCTTAGCATTCATGTAGTCGAGATTTGCTCTGATGGCCAATTTCATGAAGCAGTGGTTCACCAGATCTAGAGTGAGTGCCAATACCTGACGGCAAACACCCAAGTGCGTGATTTATCTAAGGGTGAAGTCTCATCTGGTTACCTTGCATGGTATAAAAGAAGTGTTGAGTTTGGAAGACCAGCCAAAAGACCCCACCTCCAAGAATTTGTTGAAGCATCACAGGAACAATGGGATTGGCTGGCCAAAGAAAATGAGTATAGGGCCACCATAAGCAAGTTGGAAAAGCAAGTCAAAGATCTTCAATTTGAGAGTGGTTTGCAAGCCGCTGCGGATAAGGGTAAAAAGAAAAGGTTAGCCAAAGAAAATGATGCCCTCCGAGCCCAAATCCAGAAGATAAAAATAGCAACTGAAAACCCTGCCAGAAGTGAAAAGGATGAGAAACTTATAGACAGCCTTAGGCGAAAAGTATGTGATTACGGGTTTGATATGGAAAAGACTGAGGGCGAACTAGCAAAGGCCCGAGCAAAGTTGGCCAGGAATGCGGAGGAATGGGCACTTTTCGTTCAAAAGTTAAAGGAAAAATACGACAAAGGAATCATGGGGTTGGAGAAAAGGATCAATACCCTTGAGAACGAAATGACCAAGCAAGCAAAGAACTTCAAAACGGAAAGAGAACACTGCTATGCCTTGATGTCACAACTAGAAGAGGACTTGCAACAATTGCGAGAGCAAAATCATACGGCCACGCAAGTTTTGGAGGCTAGATCTCAACAAATTGGATGCCTGTTACAAGAGAAGGGCGTCGTCAGGGAGAGGGTTAGAAGGAATGCTGACTATATTGTGATGAAATGCAATTAATGCGAGGACATGACCAGGTCCATGTTCTTCGCTGCAGTTATGATTTTTGTCCGTCAGATAATGGATGACCTATATCATCTCTAAGAAGCTATGACACGTAGGCCCGCGACAAGACCGACTGATGTATCGCGGGCCCCTGGAGTAGTAGTATAGGTACTTATGTATTTCTGATTTTATTTTTCGAGTCTGTATTTTCAGTTTCTTTTGGAGTCTGTTGGTCCACTTTTGAGTCTGTATTTTCAGTTTCTTTTGAAGTCTACTAGTCCACTTTCGAGTCTGTATTGCAGTTTCTTTTAGAGTCTGTTAGTTTTTATGTTTAAGTCTATAGGATGGAGTCGTTGTAACAGAGGAAAATCAGAATGTTTTTATTTTATGAAAATTTGAAAACCCAAAAATATTTCTTCTTTTTATTTCGCATTTATCTCCTGAACTACGTAATGATCTGATTTATGTGGCGCCATGATATATAGGCAATCCCCATAGGATTCGAACATAATCATAAAATGAAAAAGAGAAAAAAGAGAGAAAAGAAAAAGAAAATAAACTGAGTGAAAGAAAGAATGGAAAAACAAGAGAACAAAAGCAAGAGAAAAAAGATGAGCGACAAGAACCGAGTGGAAAAATCAATAGTGAGTGAAAAGGGCAATAGTGAAAAAAAAAGAGAAGAGAAAGTGCAAAATGAAAAGAGTTGGTTAAGGCCGGGATGAAACATGCAACTGTTCAAATACATAGTAGAAACTTTTAACTGTTTAGGTGCATTGCATCCCAAACGTGCAGTTGCCTATCTGTTAAAATCTTAAACACTAACAAGTGTGCTGTTGTTATTGAGCACAGGAAGGTGGTTAGTTTGTTTGGCATCCTGGCAACCCACCCGTACAATACCAGGTCCAAACATAAGGTGATCATGGCTGGCAAAGAATTCAACGCGAGTGCTATTGACCCGCCAAGAGAGGAGGAGGAATTTGAGCCCGATTTGAAAGAAGAGTTACATAAGCTATAGCACCAAATGGCCGAAATGTACCGGGCATGGATGAAAGGGCATCCTCCACCATTATACCCTGCCAACCTTGCTTTCATCCCATCACTATCTCAATCTCAAGAGCCCCCCGTTGTTCATTTATCCCCGCAACATGCACCAAGCTTCACCCCTTACCACCATTATCATGGCACCACTTCCCAAACCATCCAAGCTCCACCATCCAAAACAACCACATACCCCCTCTTCGCCAGCCACCCTTGTGTTCTTAGCACCTCAACCAGCTACACTCCATCGATCTTCCAGTGAGCCGGTATTCCAAGCCCAAGATAACCAGTACTATGCCCCAGAGTCCACTTTCAAAGTCCCAGATCACTACTCCTACACTCCCCACTTTGAACTTCTTGTCGAAACTGAGAAGCCACCAAAAAACATGGAGCAAGAGGAGATATTTAGGAAGGTAACGAGCTTGGAGCAGTCGCTGAGAAATATGCAAGGGTTAGGGGGCCAAGTGAGCGTGGCTTATAAGGATCTATGCTTGTTTCCCGATGTCCAACTACCTGCCGGATTCAAGATGCCCAAATTTGACTTGTACGACGGGCATGGAGACCCCATGTCCCATTTAAGAGGATTTTGCAGCAAAATGAGGGGTGCTGGGGGAAAAGATGAATTGATGATGGCATATTTTAGTCAAAGTTTGAGTGGCGCAGCATTGGAATGGTACACCTACCAGGACATCAGCAGGTGGTACACTTGGGATGACTTGGCTCAGGCTTTTGCTTGGCATTTCCAGTTCAACGTATAAATTGTCCTAGATCGCCTATCTCTGACTAAGATGGAGAAAAAGCCCAGTGAGAGCTTCAGGGAGTATGGTTTCCGGCAGAGAGAACAGGCGGCACGAGTCGACCCTCCAATGAAGGAAGATGAAATAGTGGATTGCTTTCTTCAGACCTTGGAGCCTACTTACTTTGGTCATCTGGTCTCGTCCATAGGTAAGTATTTCAATGAAGTAGTGAAGATGGGAGGAATGGTAGAGGAGGGGCTCAAGTCGAGCAAGATCATGAGTTACTCTGCTTTAAAAGCCACAACACAAGTAATTCAGAACGACATAGGAAGCTTGCTGGGTCAGAAGGAACATGATGATGTTGTCATGGTTGTCTCAAGATCATGACATGGTCTAACAGGTCCGCCTCACCAATATACTCATCCTCAACCCCAACCCCAACCCCAAACCTATCCCTGAGCTCCACATAATCCACCCATGTATTATCCTCCGAACAATGTCCGATCATTTGTCCAACCACCGGGTCATTCCTTATGGCGAGCGCCAGCACCGTGTAATGCACTCTTACCTTCACAATGTTTTTGAGCTCCCAACAACCCTAGAAAACTAGGGCATGTAGGGGAACAAAGGCACAGAAATAGTTTTACGCCAATCGGAGAATCCTACACAAGCCTGTTTGAAACGTTAAAACACTCTGGCCTGATTGAGCCGCTCCTCGGCTATACTCTAGACTCATATGCAAAAGGTTTTGATCCTACTGTATGATGCATGTACCATGCTAACGTCCAAGGTCATAGCGTTGAAGATTGTCGTGCTTTGAAAAGGGAAATAGAAAGAATGATTCAAGAAGGGATAATTGTGATCCAGGACAGTGACACCCATAATATCGCGTAGAATCCTTTACTCGCACATGATAATACACATTTTGTGGGGATGATGCATGGTGATAGGGAGTATGCGAATCCTCTTAGGAACTTGATGACTGAAGTTAATGATATTGAAGTTGATAATGGTCTTGATAATTTTGATGTGGAACTTAGCGGCTAGGATGCCGAGCTTGGTAATTGAAAAGATGCTCCTTTCTTGGCTAGCCAAGGAGAAGTCTTGGTGGTTTATTTTGTTGTCATTTTTGTTGTCCGGTTTATTTCAGGGTTGTAATTCGGATATTGTCTTGTGGCTCAAACCCTTCTATCCTTTTATTTTGCCGAGTTCGTTTAGTCGTAGTAACTCATTTAGTGTTATCTAGGCTTATT